TGTAACTCACCTTAATGCTGTCTTGTCCTCTGAATTCTCTCTTCACTTTTTCTTTGGTTTTCATGTTTGTTTCAAGTATGTGATCATGATCATCAGCTGCTGAACTATAAAAAAAAGATTTGTTTTAATTGGCACTTCATACAGTATCTGGAGCACTGACACTTCTTTTGAACAGTCCTCTTTCAAAATAAGTCAAATTTATCTTTTGTGAAGCCTTTACTGAAAAATGAAACACTATTTAACAGATCCATCATTTCCAAAGTAGTTTTCTGCAAAGAACTACATTTGGTGATGGATAATTTAGTTTAGTTGTATTTAAGCAGCTGTTGAGGAATTTCCTTGAATAGACAAAAGAAAGTTAGATCCCATCACATTACTTACTCATTAGGCATTCATCTATTACTGGGAATCTTCATGTACAGCACTGTGCAAAAGCTTTTTAAGAACTTTAGAGGTTTACATGCTTGTCCATAATGCAATTCCAACAGGGGGGTGTCTGATCAATACTAAATTCATTTTGTAGCAAGACAACCAGCCCAAACATAAAAATAACTCTCAGAGCTAAGAAAAACTGATCACAAACCAACAGACTACCCACTGCAACTGGAGTTTTAGTGAGAATTGCAGCTGTAGTTTACCCATGTGTCCCATCACCTTGGGGGAATGGGGGCATTGTGAGTGTGCAGTGTCACACTGGAGCAAAAACTCATTTTACTAGTACAACCTGTACTGTAAAATATGTGTACATTTACTTGTGTTTAGTCCAGAGGAGCATGTAGTGGTTTAAGTTACATGTTAATATGGACTATGTAATAGAATAGAATGTTCCTGTGCTCACTTTTAATTAGTAACATTAATAACAGTAGATCCTTCTTACCCCATACTATTGATGAAATTTCTGATCCCAATAAGATAGCTGAGCTTTGGTGGCGTCATTATTGCGAGTTATTTAATTGTATTCCGAGTGAAACTTTTTTGGTGAGTGGGGTTGAGTTTGTTGAATCTTTTAAAACCAATGAAGTTTCCCAAGCAATAA